CGAGTTGTAACGGTACCAGGGGTTTGAGTTGACGGCTGAATTTCTTTAACTAATTCAGTTGAAACACGATGAGCATCATGTGTAGAATTTTGTTTAGCCGTTCCACGCTGTCTTCTGGTACAAGTATCATTTTTCGTGCATGTTCCATCGTTATACATCTGCTGAGATGAGTGCGCTTATAAGAGGCCCCAATAACATGGGTAAAAAAGCACCGCCTTTCTGATTGATGATTTTTTTCTTGTTGAATAAACTCTGATTTTTATCAGCCAACTTCTTTAAAAGTTTTTTTATGTTTGCACAATTTTGAATTTCCGCAAGTTTTCAAAGGAATATTTCCGTGCAGCAAATTCAGAGCACTCTCACAAATGCAGCGAATCAAATCTTTATTAGCGTGTTGTATTATTGCTCATCGTAACCTAGGAGGAGCGTGAATGAGCGCGTGTAACAAGACAGTATTTTTTTCTCCGAGCGACTTGCGAACAGAGCCGCTTCCAGAGCGACTTGTCTTTGCCATTACACACAAATGACTGGCACACTCCGCAATGAGCCTCCTCCTTTTATATTATAATCCTTCCGTGTAACATAAACATAGTGATAGGGGTTGCTAGGGAATACATTGGTACGAAATCTGCAATTTTCAGGAGCCGACTGTTTTAAATTGTTATGTCCAGAGAAGGATTTTAGCGTCGAATGGACATGTTTTAATTGTCACATTAAAATCAAAGCTAAAATTATTGAATTTTATAATTATCGGACGACGCAAAGTTTTATACTCTTACCTTTTTTTAAAATATAAGGGAAAAAGGGCTTGATTTAAGGATAGGGCTTCAGTTGAGACGAATTTCTAATCAAGACATTTGGAGTTGTAGTGGGAATCAAATTTGAATTTAAATATATTTTGTTTAACTACCCGGTTTAGAAAAACATGGGCGTGATTTTACAGGAATCTAGGTAGCTAAAATCCCTATCCCTGGAATGATCTGAAGGATTCAAATTTGGGTTTACAAATTTTGCTACTCACAATTCGGTCTGTTAGTTATAAATTATTCGATGTATTTGTAGATCCCTGGGTAAATCCGTAATTTCCTCACCAGCAATTAGTCGCGCTAAAGGCTATTATGGATACTTTCACGGAAACACTTTCTTCTACTCGTTGATATTTTAATGAATTTTTGGCAGTTGAGTTTGAAGATTTTAAGAGTTTGGTTGAGACTGTCCACAACGCGTTACAATAAACGAATTCCTTATTTGCAAGAAAAGTCACCACTCTCGGTTAAAGAAATTTTATTCCCGGATAATTTCAATTTTTCGGAACTTACTATTAATTCAGTACTATCCCGTGTAGTCGAAGAAAGGATTGAAAAACCGGACCGATTAAATGAACTATTTCCACCAGAATTGTTACTGCTCCGTCGCTGCTTCAAGACTGTTTAATTTTGATTTTTCTGACATTTTTATATGAATTTTGGGGTCACTTGTCACATGGGCTCCAACGAGTCCATTTTTAATTGGTGGAAAATGTCGTATGACTTTTCCCACTCTTTTGATTTTTTTTTCGGGGAACTAGTTAATTCGGTTTTTTGGGGTCTTAATTAATCGGTTTGCAATCGTTCCTTCGCGTACGACTCTTAGTATTGGGTAATTGGGACATGCTGAGTGTGTCATTTCATCACTTTTGAACTCGATTCCAGTGCCTTTCGAATTTTTAATTGAGTTCAAGTGATGAAATGTACTCAATTTAGCTTACAATTGTGGGTTTGGTTCTCAATTACATGGGGTTATAATGTAACTTATAGTTATGATCCTATATAAAATTTATTCTAGTCTTAAATTTCTAGTATAAAATTTTTGGACATTACAGCCCCCGCTCATAATTGTTTCCGACTGCATTTTGGAAGCAATTTTGAGGAGTTAGATTTTTAAATTTTATGTGTAGTATGGGTAGAGTTATTTTGTCTTTGTAATCGTGCACCGAGCGGTGGCCGTGAGCGGCTGGGTGCTGACGATGACATTCTTGGGAGTTCGGATTACATTGTATTTCTAATTCACCTGTCAGTTTTCTTCGCTCACTCGGTGACTTGGGAAGTATTTCGGTTTAATTTTGTTTGTGTGCCAGGGATTTTATTCGTTACGGTAAGTGTTTGGGATATTTTCCTGTCTATTTTCTATGCTATTTTTGACACATGTGCAGTGGTTGATTTTCTTGATTTCGCTGCATTTGTATGCAAACATTCGGGGTTTTTTTGTTTTTTTTTGTTTTGCTATTTTTATTTTATTATATTTTATTATACTTATTTTACTTATTTATGTTGTTTTGTATTTTTTGGTAAATTTTGAATTTTAAAGTTCTTGTGGTGGGTTGTGAGGGGGGTATGATGAGAGGCTTGTGCCTGTGCGAATGTCGCACAAAGAGGAACGGCCGATTGAAACCCTCCACGCTCTTATGCATAGGAGGTGTATTCTTCTCCATTCCTCTTTGTGCGACATTCGCACCAGGAGGAGTGGAGAATAAGTTCGGCATGTTCTTCACGGTTACGCGCCGGGGGGGGGTAGCTATATTTCTTGTTTACTTATGTCTATGGATTATTTTTGTTATTACTTGTTTGCTCATTTATATAGATGTAAATAATTAAACATAATNTATTTTTTTTCTTTTTAGGCACGGGGGCTATGGAGACAGCTCCTTATTTTCAAGGGCTTCTTGGCGACGGTGGGGAGGAGGGAGCCCCTAGGGTTGCTGGAGGAATTTTCCTCGCGGATTTTAGGGGTTACTCTGGCAGTTGGCCAGGATATTTTGTTTGGCTAATGTTGGACCTGTACTCATGCAATAAAGTTTGTTTATTGACACGTGTCTGACCTTTTTATTTTTAGATGTAGTTGATAACCACGGCGGATGGAGTGTCCTGTTTGGGGATTGTGATGGCGTGTTTTGATTTGGTGATCCCTTCCTTTTTCGGCGCTCGAGTTGGTGCTGGGTAGCTGGGCATTCCGACCGTAGCAATTATTGCTGAGGTTTCTTCTATCCTTTGGATCCTCTGGGGTTCCAATTTCGACTCTTCGTTGGAATTTTCTGTGCTTCTTCTTATACTTCTGGCAGAGGGAGAAGCATGACAGAATGCTCATGATAGACAGCCCTTGCCTGTATGCGCAGATGCTGGCTGCGACCATGGATAGGAAGATGATAGCGGTGATGATGCCATTTGTTGCGGTGAGGATTCTATGGTGGTATTCCTCTTGATGGTGGAGTCCAATTTCCTCCGCCTCGTTTAAGGTGTGTTGGAGTGATTCGTCGAATTCCCTGTTTTCATCTGATGTGGGTAAGATATGTTGTTTTATTTGGCTCAATGGGTGTATTGGTTTCGGTTTTTCATTTAGTATTGGTGCCATTGCTGAAATGTTTATTGTTTTAGGTAACCCCAGTATCATGGGGAGTTGAGTCTGGATTAGTCCTGCACCCTCGATGACGGCTGTGGCGGTATCTGTTTTGCAGTTGGGATTTAGGTGGATTATTCCTGTGCCATTTATTGTTAGGCTGGTGGCTTGTTGGTTGGTGCAGGTTATTTCTAGTGTCTCTGGTTGTATGGTGGCATAGAGCTAACCATTGGTGCTGGTTAATTTGGTCCATTGTGTGTCTTGATTGTTGGTGACTCTGATGTTGCATTTCTGATAGATGGTGGAGTCGACTTGGGCGTTGGTGTTTGTAAGTAGGCGGTATTCGCAGCTGTGTTTTCCATTGGGTTTCTTCAGAGGAAGGTTTCTGGGGCAAGCTAGGCAGTTTTCCAGTGGAATGCAGGTTTGCAGGTGTTCCCAGTTCATTTGGCTATATCTGCTGGTGAATTTTGAGGTTGTGGTGTATTTATTTTGTGGCTCTACGTATGCTACAAGTGTTTGGTTCCCGTGGATTCTCTGGGGACCTTTGCAGGAGGTTATTTTGTAGAGTTCCATTAGGTCTCTGCTTAGTAGTGGAATGTCGAGGATTATGAGGAAGGAGCCATTGTTGAAGCCGGTGTGCATGTCACTGATTTGGCTTAGGATGGTCAAATCAGTCTTTTCCGGAGATGTGGGAAAGATGCTGTCGGTGATGACTTTTCCAATTTCCTCTATGGCCTTGTCCAATTTCTGGTCATTTATTAAGATGTGGTTTAGTTTCCCATGTTTCGCGTCTTCTATGGCATGAAGGATGTTGTGCGTCTTTCATAGATCCTTTCTGGCGGCATGTTGTATTTCTCTAGCTGTTTCGTCGAGGCTTGCGAGATATTCCACTTGAGTCAACTTGTCGGACAGTAGGTTGGTGTTGGAGGCTATGACGTTTATTCAATCTGTGGCCTTTCTAATTTTCTCATAGTTCAGTTCGTGTTCTTTTTTTATGGCATTTATTTCAGCTTGGATGATGTGAGCAGAATTTCCGATTAGGTGGGTGATTTGTTGTTGGTCTTGATAGAGTCGATCAATTTCTTTGGTGATGTGTTCTTGGTCATTGTAGTCCATGGTGCTGAAAAGGGATCTCGATATGGTGCCCACGAATCCTAGTAAAGGGGATCTGCTATAACGTTTTTTGGGGTTCTGTTTTGGACTTTTCCAGATTCTTTCCAGATGTTTCTGTATTGTTTGGAGTATTGTCTTGTACTCTTCCATGATGGGTATGCCTAGTACTCTATCGCAAGTTTGCTTTCCTTGGTATTTATAGCATTCAGTTTGATGTTTGTCTATGGTTTGTATCCCGGGTAGTGGTTCTCCTAGGAGGTTGTGCATGTCCACTGTGAGCATCAGTCGCCATTTTCTGTTGATTGTTCTTATTTGGTCGATTTTCTCATAGTAGATTCGTGTTGATAGATTTGATCGAGTGATCTGTTTCGGCCTGAATTACCCAAACGGTGGTCCATATGATGAGGATAGCTCTCATGGTATTGTGTTCTGTAAGTTGGAGAATTTTTGTTTGGGTTTGTTGTGCTTAATTTGGGTTTTTTTTTTTTTTTTATTTGGGAGGTTTCGACTTAGATCTAGTTAGGTTCGGTGGGTATTATTTCTGATCCTATTTTTGCTAGTTCATCCGCTTTTTCGTTCCCGTATATTCCCTGGACAGGGGTATATTCGAATTGGACGTCGATTTTCCGGGTGAGTTCGGCGAGCTGTTTCAGGAGTGTTTGATTGACAACGGGCTTGGACTTAGCATTTAGCCAGCCATTTGTTTTCCATTTCTTTATGTGTTCAGTCATGCAGCTGATGAGGTATTTGGAATCGGTGATTATTCCTATTCTCGAAATGTCATGGCGAATACATATTTGGCATGCTTCGATGGCGGCCGCTGTTTCGGCGGTGATGTTGGTGGCCCGTGTACCTTGGAGAGTTTTGTAGGTGTTGAGGGGGTGAACGTCCGCGAACCAGACTCCGATTCCTGCTTTGGCATCGGTTGAGCCGTTAAAGGAGCAGGAGCCATCGACGTAAACTAGTGTGCGTCCTGACCCGTCTGTACTCATGTCCCTGGAATGGTTTCATTTTCAATCGTATACACTCAGATACAGGCAAGTGTCCCAAAACATAAAAGTGCTCATAACTCGCGAAATATTGACTTTATCGCAAAATAAAGTCTAAGAATTTTGATGTTTGTAATTGAACGGGCCATCGATTCCCGAGGTCTAATTTCCAAAATTTCAATTAGGGTGGCCTGTGCCGTGAAGGGTGGATCACTAAATTTATTGATATTGACTCATTCTGCGCAGGGTTTCAGTTTGTTTGGGTGTTTCATGAAATAGTGTCCGTCTTCGCTTTCTAGGTACACGTTTCCTTTTTCGGTTATGTCGACAATCTCGTCGGGTCCGGTGTAGGCCTGATCCAATTTTCCAATCTTGGGCTCCTTCTCGACGTAGACAAATTGCCCTATTTTGAGGTCTATTGGTCTAGCGTTTCGGTTGTAAAGGCCCTTGGAATGTAGTTTGGCCTTTTCTAGGTGGTCGAAGGCGAGTTGGTAAATTTTCTGCAATTTATTAATTAGGTCTACCATGTAATCGTTGTAGGTATGTATTGGCTCATCTTCGTCGGTAACGTTGGGAGAGGGGAGAACTGCCCTTTTTCCATACAGGACTTCAAATGGTGTGAAATTTATTGAGCTATGCACAGTAGTGTTGTACGATAGCATGGCGAAGGGGAGTAGCTCATCCCAGTCGGTGAATTCGTCGGTAAAGGTCTTCAGATATT